TGGCCTGCATTGTGCAGGAGGTCAGACTAGATGATCATAATGGTCCCTTCTGGCCTAAATATCTATGAATCTATGAATCTATGATTAAAACACTTGACTCAGAATTTTATTTTTTCCTGGCAGCTCCTAAGTGTATTATGTTTTCCATGTGCATTCTTAAACAGATAAACATCTGATAATATTTACACTTATGTCTGGTAATAATAATTAAAACCTCCCACCACAATCAATATATGCTGTATACAAGAATTTATTTACTAATTAAATGTGTGTTCATATATTAAAAACTCACAAAATAAAAATTCATGAATACAATTAAATACACTGCCGCAGCTCAGATAATTACCAGCAAATAAAAGTTAAAAAAGTGAACCTTCCTCTCTCCATTCATGTTATATTCTTCCATCTCCCTCATCCCAAATCCCAGGAAAAACAGATCGGTTTGCAGTGTATTTGGAAGGTTAACTAATCTGGTGTTTGGCATACCAAAGACCAAATATAGAATAAACTCTTCCATTTTCATCTGTCAGCTCCCACACCACTCAAATGGAATTGCGTAGAGGGATATTTTTCATGCTTTGCTTTAAATAAATGGGTGCTATGTTTACATGCTACATACTTAGCATTGCCTTCTCTAAGCCAAAGTGAACATTTTGCCAACACTGAACTTTCACACCATACAGTGATTACATGAGCCAGTGTACCATTAAGCCACATAACATCAAACTGATAGGACAGCGGTAACTTTAGCTAGCATCTAAATTTTAATTTGTTGAACAAGAGGACAACATGAATTTCAGTAATAAAGTCAGACTTACGTGTCAGAAGTAGATTATTGGGACATATTTCATATTATACAAGAAATTGCCCCCTATGCTGGATCACAGATTACAGGCACACAAACCCATGGACATGAAATGCAAGCAGGCAGAGCAAATCATCATATTAATATCCAAAAGCACACCCAGAAAGACAGCAGTCTTTTAGACCATCCCACAGATGTTTCTTCATCAGCCTTCCTTCAGAGTGTTCATAGTGCATTGTTCACAACAAACTAGATAAACTGGTCTTCTAGAGAAAGAATCAAAACTGGATGGGGAGAGAACCCTATCTGGTCTATCAGCTCAGTTCTTTGAGGACTGGTTATGGTATGGCATCCTCCTAGCTCCTAGACATTCTTGTTCTGTCTCCCAAGCAGAACTTGTGGAGATCCATACTTTACTTGTGTGGACCTCAAATCGCCGGCAGCGTATAGCTCTCTTTCTCCTCTTGAACAACTGTGCAGGGCAGGAGAGACTTAGCAGAAGTTCAGCCTTTGTTTGTTGGGAATGCCTCTGAATGCTCTCACAATGCATTGTTTTGCACTGGATCCATATTTTCCTTTTTTTTGTTTTTGCTTTTTAGCATGCTATTATTCAAGATAGAAATATATAATTTGCTTCTCTGCTTTCTGCCAGCTTCCTTCTTATATAGTTTGATTGTACTTCATACTAATACACAGGCTTCCTCTCCAGTGGCAAAGAATGTAGTAAAGCTAGGACTGTCCCTTGAACGGAGCCCAGAAGGTCATGTAACCACTGGCAATGAATGCACCCATTCAACAGTGAAAAGCTTCATTTTGCCTTAAGCTCTTTTCCACTACTAAGGTCTCCAAGAGGTTGTGTCTAGCCTGATGCTGCAGGTCAAAATTCTGAAACATTTAGCCATTTCAATAATGGTGCCACTATCACTAGCTCCAGTTTTTCTAGTTAGCTCTGTGTGATGATCCCTTTCTGTACTGTTTCTTAAATGAATTTGAACCAATTTAGATTATCCTTTAATTAAACAAAGAATAAGAAAGTCAAGAGATTTACTAAATATTCTAGTAAACTGTATTATAGCATCATTACTCACCATATTTCCTCACATTTAAAAGGTTGTCTTGCTATAAGTGATATTTTGTTTGTTTTAATATTAGTATGCAATAGAATATAGACTCACTTCCAGTATTAATGTTTAATTACTAAGGGCATAATCCTGTAAATCCTCTCATGAGAGTAATCCTTCAATTAGATTACTTCAATAGGACTATTCACATAGTAAAAATTTGCAGGATTGGACCCTAAATGTTAAATCATATGTTAAAAATAGAATTACTATCATCATTTTTTGACATAGCCAGGAGCTGTTGGTGCGTTTAAAAAAGTTTTTTTTTTTTAACCAAAATGCAGAGTTTTTGAAGAAGTAGTTTCAGCATTTAAATTATTGATGAACCAATTCTTTGCAATATCTCTAATTTTGTCAGGTCACAGACTATATGACTGCTGCAAATAAAATGATAAACTTGATCATGTTCTATTGTACCAAGTTTAGTTTTTAACAGCACATTTTTTTCCACTGTCCATCAGCACTTTACTTGTAGTCGTATCCCTCAACTAGCCCCTTATCTGAAATGGTTAAACACCTTATCTTGTATAACATTATCTTAAACGTAAGAAACCGAGATTTTTTTTTTCCTATTAAAGTAGTTTTTCAAGGCAGTTTGATCCTGCCCAGCTTGACCTTTCTTAACACAGATCTAGCGAACAACTTCCTTCCCAGCCTTCCAATCCCCCTCCTTTTCTCTGCAGCAATCATAAGGGATGTTTATGTAAAAAAGGAGTAACAAGGCAACACTAACTCACTTCTATGCAATTCCACTATTTGGTTAAACATCCCATTTTTGTATCTGTTATTAGTTTTCTTTCTCTGTATGTAGAAATGGATATTTGTAGTGAACAAATCTTTCAGCTTACAGTTCCCTCTGCTTTGATCTCTTCAGGATGATTATTGGTTTGCTTTTGTCCTCCTGTCTATTTGCTAACCTATCACCTTAGATAACAGGTTGAATTCAGAAAAGAACACACAAAAGCTCTGCAGGATGCAAATTATTGTGTGGTTTGGTGGCTTGTTAGGGGGAGGGGGAGCACAACTGCTTGAAGGCTGACAAGTTGCTGCACAGCAGTGACAGAAGCAGTTCCACAAAATTAAACCACAATTTGAAAACCCCGCAGCTAAGCCATATGCTATGCCTTCCTTCTTTTCCTAGCTGAATGGGTGGGATCCATTATGCCTGCTTTGCTCTGTATTTGTGAATTTGGAAAAATGTTTTGATATTTAAAAAAGTTGAACATTTCCTTTCACTAGGACTGTAAGTTACTTTAGCATAATTCTTAACTACTTCCTGAACAATTTCATTCTCTTCCGCATAAACAAGTTTAAAAGTAAGCTGGTATGGGTTAGCACAACATGCTGGCTCTCTTCTGGCATCCAACCCATTTTAAACGAAAGTATAAACAAAGATTATAGCAAAGCAACACTAGTGAATAATATGTTCACTGCTGCATTGTTTGCTCACAAGCTTTGAAACAATAGTTTGGAGGTGTCAGCCACCGCCATTCAGCTCAAGTGAATGTTGGACATGACAATTTACAAAGTTGATCATTTTAGTATAAACATGTGGTTAGATTTCACTGAAATTAAAGATGGAAAAGATTAATTAGTGCTGACACCTAGAGCTACTGCAGGGAAGTTCCCTACACAATATATTTTCTACAGCCATCTCCGGGCCAGTTTTAAACATTCCAAGTGATGGGGGCTTCCTGTTCCACCACTTCTCTTGGGAGACTATTAGCCGCTTAGTAGATCACAGGTAGGAAATTTTTCCTGATTTTTTTCAACGAGAATTTTTTAATTTTTATTTTAACTGTAGCCCATTAGTCCTAGATGTACACCAAGACTCTAAATGATCTATCAGGGAAAGGGACCACGTGTATGCAGCAGTCACCGAGAGAGAAGAGAGTAGCAAAGTGGGTGGGGAGACTCCAGAAAAGGAGAAGGGGGAACCAGCAGTCACCAGAAGGGTAGCAGCTGCTCGCCAAAGAGAGCAGTGAGAGTAGGGCATGAGTTCCACTATTCCTTCCCCCTCTCCAACAGCAGGATCTTCTGAGGTACCCTTGGCTCTCTCTGATGTCAGTGGGAGTTGAGGGTATTCAGCACCTTGCAGGATCAGGCCCTAAACTCTTGCCTTTAACAAACAGTTTCTGGTGATTTTTAAATTAGATTATTTTCCTGCTGCCTTCTGACCAACCGTGCCTTCCCTCATCCCCTTTTAAAATGTAAACAGTACAGTAATTGTAATCTCACATAGAATTTGGAGAAATAATGGCACATAATCCACCAAATGTACAGAGCAATTCTTTATTACTGGGGTGGGAAAGGGCAAGGGGAAGAATGCCAAATAGCCATCTAAAATGTATCTGACATGCTATATAGTACAAGCTACTTGAATGAAGCTAGTGACCATATGTAACTTATTTATTGAGGTCATTTTCCCAGCTGACTTCTGAGAACTGTTATGATTAGATCTTTACTTCAGACCTATCTTGGAACTTTTCCACAAATTGCTTGGTATATGGGACAATGCTAGTAGGAAGGAATTCTTCAAACCCCCGACCCCAGTAAAATAGCAATGTTATTATTAATCATTGGAACCGATCTGCCCTTGCAAGGCGTCCAGAACCTCCCGCCTCCCATGCTAGCTGAAACTGACAGCTGAAACTGAAGCAGCCAACCTGCTGAGGCTTAGGTGGTGGAAAAGGGGTTTACATTTCTATTCCACCCAAATCCATGTGTCAGAAGCTAGGAGTCTCTCCAATTACCCAGACTTTAATAAACTACGTCCTTTAATACTCCAGAGCCTGAAGCAGATCTTACCGGACAGCAGCTGGTCTAACCTAAAGCCATTTACACAGGCAGGTAAGGCAAGCTGGCTCCCAAACCACCTCTAGCCCCTGCATCTTGAACGCTTTTCTTTGCGTGCATCTGGCCAGTGAACAGATTCGTCCCCAGCATGCAACATGATTATGATGATGATTTTTAGAAAAGTTCCCACTGAGCGGTGCGCCTCCTTCAGCTCGGCATCCCCCCCAGCACCTCGGACGCTCCCTGCCTCCTGACGTGCGCGGGGTCTATGTACTCACTTGTGTCTTCTTCATAAGGAAAGACAGCGCTGCAATCCAGCCCAGCCGGCCGCGTGCAGTCTCCGTTCAGCGGCACTGTGGCTCCAGCATAGTGCAGCGGCGGATAGTCCACGCATTGGGGTTGCCCAGAGCGAGCGCCCACTCTCTCCCCGTCCCCTTGGCTCGCAAGCCGCGCTGCTCGCTGTCTCCACGGCGTGAGGCGAGCCGCTGACTGAGGCCGGAGCCGGCGCGGGGCCAGCTCTTTTATAGCGCCGCCGTGTCTCCGGCAGCAGGCGCAGTGAGAGCCGCGGCAGCCGCTGAGCCGGGGCGAGACACGCCTTTCCCCTCCCTCTCCTCCCACAGCCTCCGGGAATGGGGAGCAGAGGCAGCGCCAACAGGGAGCGAAGTTTAACACGCCGGGCTTGCCCGCTCCCACCACGGGCGGGAAATCCGACCTCCCCTTGGGGGCAGCCGACCCTGCCGGTCCGTGCCCTGGGGAGAGCAGGGCTGGCTCGCAGGCTGCCCCCTGGGGAGCGTGTGACAAGCCTCTGGAAGCAGCACCTCAGGAAGCAAAGCTGGGGGCTGCGGCTGCGTCCTGCCCTGCCCTGGGCTGTGGCCCGCCCGAAGCCCCACCACGGTGCTGGCGCAGGCCAAGTAAGAGAGAGACTCAAGCATATGGGGCAAAGGGAGTGGGGGTTGGGTTTAATTCCCAGACCTAGGTGCTGGCCTGATGTGCTTGTTATACCAATAAAATAAAAACCAGCAGGATCTTATTAAAGAGGAAAAGGCAAAATACCACATTTATTGTGAATACAGAAAGAATCATAGTAAGCAGTTAGTTATAGCTATAACATTCCATTCAGTCTCATATTCATTCATACACACACACAGGTTCTGCAAGGTTGTTATCATAGTTAACAGCCTTAGAGCTGCTCATGCCAAGCCACTGGCCAGGTGGCCTGGACATGAGGAGGGAGCAGGGCCTTGTCAGATGCTCATCTGATGCTCCTGGAAGTTGGTTTGCAGAATCAGACCCCCAAAGTTCTCACTTTCTAGAGTCCATTTTTATAGGAATTTCTTCTTATGCCAGTCTATGGGAATTGCTTCACCATGCTGTTGCTGAATCAATCAGCAGATGGCACATTCCTGATGGCTCTGTGCTGCCAGATGTTATCTTGTTCTTTGGTTCTCCCATTCTTGAGGCTGTTGGGTGGATTCCAGTCTGCCCTCCGGGGGTCCTCTGGTTATTTCCACTTGACGCCTTCTTCAGCCGATGGACACTGGATTCTTAGGCTGGCACCTCCCTGATCATTCAGTTGTTAGCCACACCAAGCATCCATCCACATACATCTTCTATCTCTATTTTAATCACAATTGTTAACAAAGCGAGATGAATACAACAAAAGGGCAGGGAGTGTCTGGGTGCTGTTTCTATTGTTACAGAGTATTGCTTTGAGTCTCTCTCTGTGTGAGTAGTTGTTGTTACAAAGAATTGCTCTGAGAGCAGACTCTGTCTTAGAATGTACTAACACAATTAGCAGCTTGCAAGTTTCACACAGAGAGGGAGAGAAACAGTACCAAAAACCAAGAGACCTCTTAAATAGTAATACCCTGGAATTTAAACTATGGGGAATCAAACTTATTTGTGATTTTAGTACAGAACTTCTTTAATATGATCCAACATGCTTTCCATCCTGTTCAGGGTTTATAGTTTGGTTCAGTGGCTCTCAGCACCCCCACTATCCAAATTGTTCCAGCCCCTATGTTCCAGCAGTGGGTGTGTACTGTTGTGCTGTGCTTGGTGCAGTGCAGGGTGCTGACAGTCAGTGCAGGGTGCTGACAGATCAGAGTGGGAGCCTTTTACATCCACTTTTGCACACAGGGTTTGGGGGCAACGATAAACAGGGTCTTTACTACACTCTGGCAGTCGCCATGTGGCTTATTGGTGCTGAGAAGCTGTTACAAGTTAGTATAAATTAGAGCAACCCTAAGGCTCCTTTAAATCATGCTGTCGGCTGAAGCAGCCCCAGGCAGCCCTGAAGAGTGAGGGAGTGCAAAGATCGCTTATAGTCATAGTTGCCCTCTTTCCTCCCTTGCCTCAGTGGTGCTAAGAAGAGTTCCATTTCAGCCAAGGGGTCAGGCAAAAGAAGGGGAAAATAATATACCTGCATCTTGAGAAATAGTTGCCAGTGCTTCTTCCTTAAGGTCGTAGCATAACATGTAACCTTAAAACCCATGAACTGCACACTTGTAAAAAATTAAAAAAAGAATTAAAAACCCTGGGGATTTGGTACAGAGAAATCTAGCACTAAGACCTTATAGAGAACTGCAAAGAAAAAATAATTAGAAAGGACAAACTTTTGGATTGTGGTGTTACTGTATTTCTACACAGGAAAAAACAATTCTTGTATGTGGAGTTCCGGAAGCCAGAGAAGGAGAGAAACAAAGGCTATAAGATCCTTAGCTGTCACTTCTGGAAATGGCAAGTTTGTGAGCTTCAGCTACAGTATTGTACCAGATGCACAGCAGACAGGTGAATGAGCTAAGATTGACCAGAGTGACATGGTGAGAGGAACAAACAACCTAGAATTGCATGTTGCAAGCCGGGAAGTTGGAAGAGTGGAAGGCAGGAAAATTACTACATTTCAGACTTAGGACAGAAGAAAGGGAGTAATTAAGATGACCTGAATGACCTTTGAGTGTTAGATTAGCTCTTACTATAGTAGTTTTGTTCTTTTTGAAACACTTAGGGAGAAATTCTGGCCCCACTGAAGTTGACAGGAGTTTTGCCATTAACTTCCATGTCGGCAGGATTTCAGTTTTTAAGGGTATGTCTACACTTTGAGTTGGGGATGTAAGTCCCAGCTTGAGGAGACATACCCATACTAGCTCTGATCAACCTAGTACGCTAAAAATAGTGTGTAGCTGTGGCACCATGAGTAGAGGGATGGGCTAGCCCATCTGAGACCCTAGACATGTACTCGGGGTAGCTAGCTCATCTCGCCACTCATGCTGTCATGGCTACACCCTCAGCTTAAAATGTAGACATACCCAAGGAGAGAGAGAGAGAGAGAGGGAGAGAGAGAGAGAGAGAGAGAGAGAATGTGTGTGTGACTGTGCAGGAAATGTTTCAGGGGAGATTTACTCAGATGTTGCTCCCATTGAAACCAATGAAAGCTCCATCAGTATATCAGAGGGCATAATTTAGTTTTTAGAACTAGAGGTTGGGATTAAAAAACAAAAGTGTGGTGAAGACACCACTCTCCAAGATTTCAGTGTAAACAACATAGATCTCTTACACAAAACATATAACACCTCCTCCCTTCTAAATTAATCAAGATGTTTCTCTTACCTGGCAGGGTTGTTTCAAAATACCTGGGAGGCACTGGGATAGTATGGTGTTACCTGCCTTACAGTGATAAACTCAAGTTGCCCAGTCTGTTAAACATAATGAAGAGAAGGGTAAGGGGTGACTCGATTACAATCTATAAGTATCTACATGGGAACAAATATTTAATAATGGGCTCATTAATCTAGCAGAGAAGGTATAATATGATCCACTGGCTGAAAGCTGAAGCTAGACAAGTTCGGAATGGAAATAAGGCGTACATTTTTTAACAGAGAAAGTATTTCAACGGTAAGAACAGTTTGCCACGCATCATGGTGGATTCTCCATCACTGACCATTTTTAGATCAAGATTAGAGGTTTTTCAAAAAGAGATGCTCTAGGAACTATTTCGGGGAAGTTCTATGGCCTGTGTTATCACAATGGTCTCTTCTGGCCTTGGAATGTATGAGTCTGTGATGATGGGGACCTTGTCAGTACCTAGATAGAGCTACTAAAGGAGGAAAAACCATGAACTACCATGTTGCAGTGGAGTCATCCACATGCTCCCAGGTGATTCTGAGCTGACAAGGTTAGGAAAAACATGTTCTGCTGTACTGTATTTATTTTGTGTGCCTTCCGCATCTTGTGGTTCAGGCACTGGCCTGGAACTCAGGAGAACTCTATCTATTCCACAAACTCCCTGTGTAACTTTTGCTTCCCATCTGAAAAGTATTGCAAGGATACATTCATTAATGTTCGTGCAGCTTCCCTGAGCACTGTGGTGACGGGAGCTATATAAGTACCCAGATAGAGCTATGAAAATTGGGGCTACTCAGCTCTGTCAGGAAGTCATTTCAAAAGCAGCCCAAGAGAAGCAGTTGACAATATGTTTAAAGACCAATCCTGCCCACAAGGAGAAGGGCAGATCTTTCCCACTTAGAATTTTTGTGGGCCAAATTTTCTATGGGTGTAAATTCAAACCTTGCCCTTTGGAGACAACTGGCCAAACTTTGCTTCCACACCAGCTTTACAACTCTATAACAACATTGATTTTGTGCACTGGGGGGGAAGGGAAAGGATTCTAGATTTAGACAGGGGGTAGTGAGGACCTGGTGGTCCTAGGGCCTCTCCCCTTGCACTGTTGCCCTCCTGTCCTTGTCACTTCTCACCACTCCATCCCTTCTGCCTTTTAGAAAGATATATTTAGTCAAAAACAAGTTACTGGGTTCAATACAGTTGTAACTGGGTGAAATTTAAAGGACTGTGATATACTGCAGGGCAGACTAGATGATGTCATGGCCCCTTCTGTCCTTAAACTCTATGAACCTATGAATGCATTTACATTATGAAACTATAAGAAAAAACTAAAATCAGCTGTGTTTTCTTTGACCCAGACCTCCACTGTGTAGGAAAAATGAAATGTAATACTAACTGTCATCTATTTGTGAGTGAACAGCATGATACTCCTCATTAAAGCTGGGTAGGTTAACCATAATGATTACCTTATAACATGTTATCAGATTTCAATCTTGTTCTTTTGACCCCTGCAGAACTCGTTTTTCAGAACAGACTCTTAATGGACATAGCATACATGAACACCATCTGGGTTAAGGTAAGCGACCCCTAAACAATTCTTCAGCCTCACAATTTCTGGATCCCCAATTCAACTATCTGAAATTCATTACTCTCATTGTGGGATTGCAGATTTGGGGACCAGGAATATAGGATTTTTTTCATCTTGAAATCCTGGGATTGTCAGTGCAGTAGTTTTAAGGTTGTGGCAAGCTGTGGGTATTTAGGATTGTAATCCTTAAGTGTTTGTAAAATAACATATATGCTAATATTTGTTTGGCTAGGTAGCCAGGCACCTTGGCAGCTGAAGTGCAGCAGTCTACACTTTTCCATTTTGATATTTAATTTTCACTTAACCATTATAATAATTGTAAGAGTCACTATAATTGTCTATTTACGCTTTATTCAGATCTCCCTGGGGGAAAATCAGCACTAAAGACAATGTAAAGTAATGTCATTTTTCTTCTTGTTTTGTGAAGGCAAAAGTGGAGAGATAAAGCAAAATTTTTCAGTGAACACATTGCTAATAGTTCATGTCATGCTATCTGATAAAAAAACAAATTCCTGAAGTGGACAAAGGGCTATACTAAGAAACTGGAAATCAGTGAAGAAGTTGAATGTTCCAGAATGATACCATGGTGTGAAAAGTCTTGAAAAAAAAACCACTCTTCAAAATCTGAAGCCTTTCTTCTGTTGAGTAGATCTAATCTCTATATCTGTTGAGTAGATTAATCTCTATATCTAGGAACAAAGAGTGTAGGCCATACTGAGCCTTGGGCTCCACTATAATCTTATGTTGGTGTAACTATGTCACTGAGGGGTTTTGAAATCCACACCCTGAGCAACATAATCATATCAGATTAACCCCCCCCCCCCCAATCACCCCGGTGTAGGCAGAGCTATGTCGACAGAAAGGCTTCTCCCATCAACATAACTGCTGCCTCTTCGGGAGGTGGTGCGTCTATGCCAATGGGAGAAGCTTTCACATTAGCGTAGGCAGTGTCTTCACTAAGCACTTGTCATAAATATAAAGGGAAGGGTAAACCCCTTTGAAATCCCTCCTGGCCAGGGGAAAGCTCCTCTCACCTGTAAAGGGTTAAGAAGCTAAAGGTAACCTCGCTGGCACCTGACCAAAATGACCAATGAGGAGACAAGATACTTTCAAAAGCTGGGAGGAGGGAGAGAAACAAAGGGTCTGTGTGTCTGTCTATATGCTGGTTTCTGCCGGGGATAGACCAGGAATGGAGTCTTAGAACTTTTAGTAAGTAATCTAGCTAGGTATGTGTTAGATTATGATTTCTTTAACTGGCTGAGAAAAGAATTGTGCTGAATAGAATAACTATTTCTGTCTGTGTATCTTTTTTGTAACTTAAGGTTTTGCCTAGAGGGGTTCTCTATGTTTTTGAATCTAATTACCCTGTAAGATATCTACCATCCTGATTTTACAGGGGGGATTTCTTCATTTCTATTTACTTCTATTTTTATTTAAAGTCTTCTTGTAAGAAACTGAATGCTTTTTCATTGTTCTCAGATCCAAGGGTTTGGGTCTGTGGTCACCTATGCAAATTGGTGAGGCTTTTTATCCAACATTTCCCAGGAAAGGGGGGGTGCAAGTGTTGGGAGGATTATTCATTGTTCTTAAGATCCAAGGGTCTGGGTCTGTAGTCACCTAGGCAAATTGGTGAGGCTTTTTACCAAACCTTGTCCAGGAAGTGGGGTGCAAGGTTTTGGGAAGTATTTTGGGGGGAAGGACGCGTCCAAACAGCTCTTCCCCAGTAACCAGTATTAGTTTGGTGGTGGTAGCGGCCAGTCCAAGGACAACGGGTGGAATATTTTGTACCTTGGGGAAGTTTTGACCTAAGCTGGTAAAGATAAGCTTAGGAGGTTTTTCATGCAGGTCCCCACATCTGTACCCTAGAGTTCAGAGTGGGGGAGGAACCTTGACAGCACTACAGTGGAGCAGCCACACCGATGGAGCTACAGCACTGTAAATGTAGACAAGCCCTTGCACTACGGGGGACATTATCCTGGGAAGCAGTGACTCTGAAAAGGATTTGGGGGTCATGGTGGATCATCAGCTGAACATGACCTTGCAGTGGGATGGTGTGCCCCAAAGAACTAATGCAATCCTTAGTTACAAAAACAGGAGAATCTTGAGTTTGAGTAGAGAGGTTATTTTGCCTCTGTATTTGGCACTGGTGCGACCACTCCTGGAATACTGTGTCCAGGTCCGGGGACCACAATTCAAGAAGGATGTTGAAAAATAGGAGAAGATTCAGAGAAGAGCCACTATAATGCTTAAAGTATTAGAAAACCTGCCTTATAGTGATAGACTCAAGAAACCAGTCTATTTAGCTTAAGATAGAGAGGGTTAAGGGGTGACCTTACAATCTCTAAGTATCTATATAGGAACCTATATTCTTCAGTCTATCAGAAAAAGGTATAACATGACCCAATGGCTGGAAGTTAAAGCTAGACAAATTCAGACTGTAAATAAGGTGAAAACTTTTAGCAGTGAGAGTAATTAAGCATTGAGACAACTTACCAAGGTTCACAATGGATTCTCCATCACTGACTATTATTATACAAGATTGGATAGTTTTCTAAAAAGATATGCTCCAGGAATGATTTTGAGGAAGTTCTGTGGACTATGTTATAAAGGAGGTCAGACCAGATGATAACCATGAACTCTTCTGGCCTGTGAATCTATGAATACTTTTGAATATCTATGATTGATAGTCACAAAACAATCATATGGCTCTGGACTTATCAGTTTATTCTGAAACATTTCAGTCAGTCTTTAGACTGTCTCATGATACTGAAACAGCCTTAATGTAGTGATTGACCTCCATATACTAATGGATAATAAAAAACTACCGTGACTGATTATGATGAGTCTTTCAATTGCCTTTGATACCATTGGCCATCAGGTATTGTTGATAAAACAGCAGTCCCTGGTGGTCTGAGGTCTCAAGGGTGGGGAGTGTGATGGAATACACAAACTTCATACTGGGCCTGAAGGGTTTAAAAGGCAATACTAGGTCCAGGTACTTCCCTTGCTCCCAGCCCCAGTCCTGTGGTGCATGCTCCGGCTAGAGCCCCATCCATCCCCCTCCCCTGTCCCCTGACTGCCCCCAGAACTGGGCAGGAGGGTCTTGTGGGCCACCGTAGTGGGTGCCCACCCTTACCCTAAGAGCCAGAGGGACCTGCCAGGGGGCGAGGTGGGGAGTCCCGGTGGTGCTTACCTGGGGCAGCTCCCAGGAAGCATCCGGCAGGTTCCTCTGGCTCCTAGGGGCGGGGTAGCGTAGCTAGCGGAGGAGCAGGGGGAGCGGCTGCTCCCTCCACTGATCACATCAAAAGTGGCGCCTTAGGTGCTGACTCTGTGAGTACTCAAGCCCTGGAGCACTGACAGGGAAAATTTGGTGGGTGCAGAGCACCCACCAGCAGCTCCCCGCCCTGCGCCTGGCCCGAGCTCACCTCTGCTCCTCCTCCGCCTCCCTGGGCCTGAGTGCGAAGCCGCAGCTTGCTTCTCAGCCCTCCCAGGCTTCCCGCACGAACAGCTGATTTGCAGGAAACCTGGGAGGGGGGGGGAAGCAGAGTGGGGCAGCATGTTCAGGGGAGGAGGCGGAGGCGGAGCAGAGGTAAGCTGGGGCCGGGCGCGGGGCGAGGAGCTGCCGATGGGTGCTCTGCACCCACCAAATTTTCCCCATGGGTGCTCCAGCCCCGGAGCACCCAAAGAGTCAGCGCTATGGTGCCACTTTTGGCCAGTTGTTAAATTTAGAAGCCCTTTTAGAACCGGTTGTCCCTCGCGGGGACAGGGTATGGAATGTCCTCAGCCACACCGCCACGCAGTCTAGAGCACTGGGCAGGCTGGCGGCTCTCGCAGCCGCGCTGCCTGGCAGGAGCTTGCAGCCCCACCGCCCAGAGCGCTGGTGGCATGGCAAGCTGAGGCTGTGGGGGTGGGGGAATAGCAGGGGAGGGGCCGGGGCTAGCCTCCCCAGCCGGGAGCACAAGGGCTAGGCAGGACGGTCCCTCGGGCCGTATGTGCCCACCCCTGCTCTAGGACATAGGTGTTAGAAGTAGGAGTGCTTTTCATCAATACAGGGTTTACAGTTTGGTTCAATGGCTCTCAGCATCCCCACTATACAAATTGTTCCAGCATCCCTGCTGCAGGATCTATACTACCTGCCTATGAATTTCCAGGTTGAGTTTACAGTGCTGGTATTGACCTATACAATCTGTAGATGGTTTATCTATCTACTTGAAAGACTGCCTCTCTCCTGGTGTCATATTGCTGCAGCTGAGAACTGAGGGGCTCAAACTGAAAACAGAAGGGGGCTGCTGGCAGTGTTCTCTGCTAGGATGCCTGTCCTTTGGAATGTGCTGTTCCCCGCATGGCATCCCCTGTCTGAAATAGCCTGAATGTGTTGACCTTGAGGGTATACTGCAAGGCTCATCTTTTAAGGGACCTTTTAGGGAGGGAAAGGCTGTTTGTACGGCGATGTTTAACAACAGGTGGGGTATTTTTGCTGCAATTTGTGGCTCATTTAATTTTTATTGTATTTTATGGGATTGCTGCTGCTGCTGCTTCTCTGGTTTATATTAGTGGTGTTTTTAATTCATTATCAAGGCTGCAAGGAATGGAAGGTGGGACATATCTTGTGGTCTTACACATGTAAAAAAATAGCTAAATTATGGGGGTGGGGGAGAAAAGATCGCCCTATATCCTCTTCAGCCCAATCCAGCCTCCTTTTACATGACAGAATTGAACTTCATTCTAAATTACTGTAACACATAGTGGTCTCACTTGAAGTAGTGTCTTTTAAAATGTGTAATTAGATTCTGTGATTTGAATAGTTTCTGTCCCTCAGAATGATTTCTGATTCACATTATATTTAAATGAACATATGCAACAGAGTTTATATTACGTTTTCTGCAATACACTCTGTATTACATACGTAGGGACAAATCCTGAAAAAATTGTTATTAATGGGAATAGTGCTGAGCATAATGCTTAATTCCACAGACACTGACACTTAC